GTTTTGGTTGTTGTTTTCATTTTAAGTTTGTTTCATTATTGCTTCAACGAATTTTCCCATGCCTCACCCCAGCTGTCAGAAAAAATCCTTTTTCAGAAGAAAACACATTTTCCTCCGAAAACTAATATTCACATTATTAGGTTCCACAGACTCCATTAACTCTCTATGAAAATATTGTGCATACAGTAATACATCGTCACACACAAGGCGCTCTATACACACTCGATGCACAAAATGAACACTGCACACACAAACATTTCATCCTTTTTTCTCAGACACATTCGTGTTAATGCTACAGACTTAAGAACAAAACTTAACTGACAGCAGCTGCCTACTATGAGTTTTCAAATACCTCCAGAATCAGACATCAAAATCATGAACAACAACCAAAAGACAACCAAATTGTGAAATCCATTTTTAAATACCAGAGCTCTAACTACTAATTACTACAAAATACACATTTATATAAATATATAGCAATTTGTCTCTTAGCTGTGCCTTATGGCATTTCTCAGAAATGGAATTGGATACGATTTTGAAATTGCTTTGGCCTTACCCTCAAACCCACACACAGTAGAAAGATACTGTCATTCAGTGCATAGTCGCAAATACCTGTGGAATTTAGCTACGCCAAGTCTGCAGAAATGAAGGTGAAACAACAGTACGCGACTAAAGAAATCTCACTCTCTTCTCTCTTATCAATCCTCATCTTTTTTTTCCTCCCCTCCTCACAACCCAACATACATTGCACCAAGCACACCACATCGGCATTGCACAGAGAACACGATTAGGTTAAAGAGGATGAGGCCCAGGTTGTAGTCCCAGGGTTCACATTATCATCTCCTAGGGCAATTGCAATTCTCCCAGGTGGTTCCTTCTCATGCTGCTGTGGCAATGATCTGCCCCCTGCACTGCTTGAGCGCGAACGTCCTCGTTCTTCTTTAGCTTCCCGCTGATAATTTGGCCATGAATAGCGGCGTAGGCACAGCCGTAACACCTGCTGCTGCCAAGCATCATTCATGACCACACGATTCCAGCACACACGCCCGTGATGATCACTGGGCAATAGCGTGGCGCAAAGTTGACAGGCCGCTGCCTCTGCTTATTTCACACTCAGGCATTGCTCCCCTCCTCCTCCTCCCTGCCTCCTCCTCCTCCTCCCCGCCACCAAAAGCCCTTCCCCCATTGCCATGGGGATAGCGTGGAGAGCGATGGCATAGAGGGATGAGCAATGGTTGCCGTGGGATGTGGCCTCGCAGTAAGCCTCTCGGACCTCCAGGTGGTGGTATGTTGGCAACAGGTAGTTGGTAGCTTGTGGTCATGCGGCATGAAAGAGCTGGTAAGTGGACTTTCTGGAAGGTCTCTGTCCCTATTTCTCTGGCTGGTACAGCAAAGCACCTCGTCCACAGCTCCACTTGAGATCACAGTTGGATAAGTTAAATCAGAGAGTGATGGGAAAAGACAGACTGAGGGGCAGGGATGGAGTAGGGAGTCATGCAACAGTCCAGTGTTGTGTATTAGAAGCACATTTACTTCTGCTTAAATTGCCCATTTTCCCTGTTTTGGCAGCATTTTACAGAGGAGGCTACAATTCTTTAATATCATAGCTGAGCCGGACGCAACCACATCACTTGAGATATGTTATTTATCTAGGGTGTAATGGGCTTATTTTAATGGCCTTATTAGGCAAGTTGTTTACATGATTAAACAGCTCATAGAGTCTCTGTTGGAGTCCACTAAGCTTGATGAATCAAGTTCTGTTGGAGGAAAGTGTTGAGATTACGGGCTTCATCAGCTGTCCTCGTGTGTGGGTTGCCGTAAATCTCTTATTATTCATACTCTCTCTGTTATTCATGTCGAAGTATGGCCCCTGTCAGCACATTTTCTTTTTCTGCCTGCCTGATTAACCACTTGGTTTTCTATTAAGCAAATACATCACTTGTATCCTGGGTGCTAATTGTTCTGCTTTGCAGTAATTAGAATTTTCAAAGTCCTTTAAGACGAAAGCTGTGTCAGGGTAATACAAGGAATGTTTAGGCGGGCCAGCCAACCTCCAAGCGAGCCTAGCTTTCACTAATACAAGGTGATTTAGGGTTAAATAGTCAACTGCATTGTTTT